ATAGTGGCCTTCCAGTACCTGAAGGGGGCCTACAGGAAAGCTGGTGAGGGACTTTTTACCAGGGTGTGTAGTGATAGGACACGGGGTAATGGTTTTAAACTGAAAGAGGGTAGATTTAGGTTAGACATTAGGAAAAAATTATTTAGTGTGAGGGTGGTGAGACACTGGCACATGTTGCCCAGGGTGGTTGTGGATGGCCCCTCCCTGAAGGTGTTCAAGGCCAAGTCAGACAGGGTGCTGTGCAACCTGGTCTAGTGGAAGGTGTCCCTGCCCTTGCAGGGGGTATGGAACTAGATGATTTTTTAGGTCACTTCCAACCCAAACCATTCCATGAATCTGTTCTCCTCCCAAGCACGTTGAGGAGTATTCCCTTGAGGCCATCTGTGTGCACTCAGTGTCACCTGTAACATCAGTGCACTGAGGGGAACAGCCACAGAAACCTCTGTGTTGAAGGTCACACAGAAAATAATTCATTAGTCACAATTATTCCCTCACTCATCATTATCCTTCTTATGAAATTGATTGGAAATACAGAATTGAAAGGAGAAAGCAAACTCCATACCACAGCTGTATGTAATGGGCAAACAAATCCCTGCTGCCTAGGCACTCTGTGTGACTTTTCTGACCACTTTATTACTCTGCCACTAGGAAGGATTCCTTACTACAGCTAATTACTTCTTTACATTAACAAAAAGGAAGCACTGACCAGACTAATGACTACACAGCCTTCTGTAAGCATTTTCCCAGTACCACAGGTTTGCTGCATGACCTTGTGTGTACTCCTCCACCTGCCTCCATTTGTCAAGCTTAACATGGGAATGATTTACCCAGGCCCTACAGCTGCTGTAAGATTTCACTATTGCAAAAACCTACTCAAGCTCATGGCCATGTACAGCACAGAGGTACTATGTATTTTTACAGGATGTGGTCAAAGGAAAAGAGAAAGAGAGGAAACAATTTTTCAAATGCTTTTTTCATTCTCATTTCCTCCCAGAATAAGGCAAGCTTCCAAAATGCTGGATTGGATTAATTAATACTGACAAGATGACAGTCTTCCATCAACATGCATGACAGGACATCTTGCCATTGAAAGGACTGAAAGCCTAGTGTTCAGCAGAAGTACCTCAGCAACTGTTGAGAACATTAAAAAGGAAGGAAAAGAAGTTGCCAAAGACACCAGGACAGGGAACATGAGCTGTGGGAAGCACTGTTTGCTGTCTCCACTATTATCTGCCCACATTTAAAATAGCCACACACAGGGAGTGAGGTCACATTCTTGACATTTAATTTGCAGAGACAATAGTCTCAGAAACAAAATATTTCCTGTGTTGTCCCAAAGCTGGTGCAAGCACAGCAAGTCTGCGAGAGAAGACAATGAAAAACAATTGACTGGTAAAACTAGAGTTAAGAAAAGCTTGTCCCAAACCTCAATGCCACAAGGTGCCTATGCTCCCTCTACAGAAGACAGCTGCTGTTTTTCTACTGCAGGGACTGTGCAAGGCTCTTCTCACAGCTCTGCAATAACATCTTTTTTAATAAACTGGTTCCATAATGACCACCAACTCACCTTTTAGGGCCAATCTGCCATAATCCATGCACATAACCCAACTGCCTGTACTTCACTAGTCCTAGTTCCCCTAAAGAAAAGTGGTGGGAGTCAAGGTCTCACCCACAGGCCAGGGAAGCTCCTGCCCAGGCTCCACAAAACTCCGACTCGTGGCCAGCTCCTCACATTTGGACTTGAATTCAGCACCCAAAGGAGGGAGGTTTGGCCAAATAACAGGCCATAGCAAGACTGGAGAGTTCTTCCAAAATAATAGGAATTCTTCTGGAATTTGCTACTTTTTCTTTTTTTCTCATGTTAAAATACACATTTAAATCTCCTTGTGACCAGCACAGAAAAAGAAACAGACATGAGTAGTTACAGGAATAATAAGGAAAACGGCAACTCTCACTTCTGCAAAACATGAGCTGAGCCTAACTTGAGTGTTCTGCTAAGCTACGGCAACTGGTATTTGAGAATATAAGAACTATTCCATAGCATTACACTTTCCACCTATCACATCTGTGTAAGGCTTGATATAAGTTACATAATATGGATTTTTTAATGTAAGCCATGATGTTATTTTAGTAGGAGAAGCTCTTTAAGCAGCTTCATATATGATATGAAAGGTGAAGTCAGTTTTTGGAAACGTTGCAGTAGCCAGTAAAAACTAAACTGTGGAGGAGATGAACACGTGAACTGATCTAAAGAAAGTTTGTGGCATTTAAAAGAGAAGTTCATAGTTGTTCTCATTTGTTCTCTGCTGAGCACAGAAGCATTAGCACGCTCTGCACACATTTCAGTAGAAGCTGATGCAGTTTCAAGGATATGGGGAACCCTGTTGCTACTTACAGACTTAAACAGAAGTCCTGCTAAAGGAAAGCTTCATTTTGTGCCAAGGTATGCATCAAATAGGCACGTTGTGGGCAAATACTTGAATACATTTAATCATCTGTCTGTCTTGTTTTTCATCCTCTATCAGGGAAGGCTCCAGGCTTGGATGATATTTCAATAGGACAGAAGGGAGGCCAACAAGTTTGTCCCAGCCTTGCATGTGTGAGACGTTGAAGCTCAGCACGTACTGGCCAAAGGAGCTGTTACTCACCCCAGAGCTCAGACCCCACCAAAAAGCATAGCCAGGACAGGCTGAACCTGTTCTAAGGGTACACCCTCACATGATACAGGGCACACACTGCTAAGGGTAGAAACCTTACTATTAAGGAGAGTTCCTACAGGTTATGAAAGCCAGAAGAGTGATCCCAACAACTTAATCTACTGTAGGACTTTCTTCCTTGCACATCCCTACTGAGGGACACACTTGTTTCGGAGCACACAAGTACACACCCCACTCTCTTGTATTTTTTTTCCCAGTATTTTATTTCTGACAGGCATTTACAACGTTCCATTCATAGAACTAAAAACATAAAAATAGACCTTCTTTCAGCTTATAAAAGAAATATATAAGAACCTTTGACATAAGACATGTCATGACATTATGTACAAGAACAATGGTACCTTTCCCAGTACCAGCCTTCCAGTATTTCAGTGCCGACCCTATTCCGCTGGGTACAGCACAGGACAGCTAAAACCTCCGCTCCTCTAAGACGCTGGGACACAACTGACAGGTAGATGATATAAAACAATGATGTGAGAATACAAAGGGTATAGAAACCTTTCTAAAGCTTTTACGAAAAGAAATCAGAAGATAGCAAAAAGTTAAAGAGAGAAAGCTTTCATAAGATCAAGTATAGTGCACCAGAAACCAGAAAGGAGGCAGGAAGGTGGGGAGGTGGCAAGGGGAGAATGCTAGCTGGGACACAAAGACAGTGACGGATTTTGGGGGGGAATAATTTCTGTTATGTTTTAAAATATAGTCAAGAGTGGATTTTATAAAATATAATCCTAAAGCTATTACAAAATTTCAGGTTTTCAGAGTACCTACTAATGTGTCAAACATCAATAGATACCAACAAAACAAAAAGAAATTTTCATATAGTCTTCCTTTTATCCTATAGATGAAACTGAAATGGGAAAAACTATCTAAATCTTAAAAAAAAAAAAGTGCTATTTTGTGTTTTGTATTTGGAAGTCTACTTAAAAACCATAAGCTTTTAGTCACATTTTACCCTGTTTTAGATGTTGAAATAAAAGGTTTTAAAATGTTAAAGAGGTTTGCTTGCGTAGAACTTGTTCATAATCTATTGCAGTGGAAAAGCTTTTATAAAGGAATTAAAATACACTAGTTTCACCCACAGTAGGAGAGTGGATGAGGTCAGTTTTTTGGCCATGAATTCCCTGTCCCCTAAGCCCAAACCCTTCCAGACAGCAGACCAAACGGATCTGTGATGTTGCTACTCTGGCGAGGTTGCATCATGGATCAGTTTGGTCTACTACAATTGAGTCATGTCATTTTTATTTCATTCTTTTTCTTATCTAACTAAACTCCAGTCTCAAACATATACAATAATCCTTTTCCTGAAGAAAGTTATACCTAAATAAGAGATTCCAGTTCATATTTTAATATAAACCCACCATTCCTAACCCTCTGCAAAAAAGCTAGCCTCGTATCCTAGACATGGAGCTAAGCTTACGCTGTAAAACTCTTATCCCTTTGTGCCCCTGCATCTCAGGTAAAATACAAAAAAATATTTCTTCAAGTGTTAAATTTGGATCTCTTTTAAGAGAGTTTGGCATCTTTATAATATTATGTAAAACTAGAGCTTCCAACATTGACATTAAATTAGACCAGCCACAGACCAAGAGGACTTAACACAACATAAATCCCAAACCTTTCCTCACGCATTCCTAAAATACATGTATATTCTCTTACACTTAAAGAGGGAAAAGTAATAAGAATGCTGCAACTGTACACATTTAAAAGGCAGTTTCCTTGATAAGGAGATGAACCTACAACTGATGTTTTACGGCTATAAAGCCCTCTGTTCCTTGTGCTATTGTTTAAGCTAGTTCACTGAATGTAGGTTAAGACATCCGGAGTAATTTGTTTTCCAGAGATGACATTCTCCCCATAATTAATTTCAGCCCCTGATTCTTTTAGAATAAATAAAATAGTGTGAAAGCCCTTGGTAACGTAAGACAGGACCTCAAGCTTATTCTGTTCCAGATTTTGAGCATTTTACAGTTGCCTAAAGTGTGGCCTCATGGCTTTGGACCAATTCAGCTGCCGAAATGGTGTGTGCAAGTGTGCAATCTATCGGTATCGGCTCTCCGCGGTGTGCGGGGGTGGGAGGGAGGGGTGGAGG